GTGTGTGTGTGTGTGAGTGAGTGTGTGTGTGTGTGTGTGTGTGTGTGTGTTTTTCTTTCAAACATGACTCGATAAAATGAAACATTGCGCTGATATCGCTAAATGCGCTCCGTTCAGTTCAGAAGAACGCGTTGTGTGTGAACGCCCCCAAAGATGGCGCCTGGAGCTACATTGTGTTTCGAGGAACACGCTATTTTTAAACGCTAACACTCAGTTTAAGTGTATTTTTACTGTAAAGCACATTGTCTCTGGGTTGGTCTAAGCCTGTACTTTTCCACACCGCGGTCAGTGTGTGTCTCCACTCTATTCTCACCATTCCTAGACTCTTAAAGGATAAGGTGCTGTGGTTTTTTTGGGGGAATAAACCATGGTGTTTTTGGATGAGCATTGGGGTACCGTGCCAATACCATGATATGTGAATATTGTAATCATCTGTGCATAAAATACCATGGTATTACCCTCAGATTCCACCAGTGTAAGGAGAGAATGAATGATGTAAACAGCACTGGCCTGAAGCACATGCAGAGTCATTTTTGAGACCGTAATGGGATGTTGCTGTTTATTGTGCTGCAGAGTAAAGATATTGATCGGCTATTAGTTACAGTGTTTTGGTGGATTGTGGTTTTGTCGGTCTTGCCACCGAAAGGACTAGAAATCCAGGGTTTGATAGATGTTTCACGCTCGTGGGAAAATGTTAAAGCAGATAAACTCACGCTGTGTGTTCAGGAAACGTTTATACTATAGTATTGGAACCCGGACTGTAAAAAATGGCCTTTTATGTGTTCCTCTGCCAGTTGAAGATATATTTAATATGCATCTTAATGTTTACGTATTTTTCTGTTTGCCCACTAAGACAGAGTTTAATTGCAAGAAGTAAAATGAACAATAATGACCTGTTTTCCCATGCACTTTTGACACTTTTATTTAATTGTTATGCTTTTTTATATTTATATCCACCGACGTGATGATCTAAATAATAATTGCCCATGTTTTCATCAAGCTATATTAACTTGGAGATTTCTGTGAACGTTTCTGGCCAAATAAACAGTGCATTGTGATATCACAGCGTATGTTTGATTGCACGTGCAGTAATATAAACGGCTGCAGAATTGTGTTTGTTCTCATCTGTACCTTGCATAAACACCATATTGCATGTTGTCGTGTTTGTGCTTCAGTTAGCCAGGCATCCGCTTGTATTCAGAAGTCTGTAAAGGTCACACTGGGATGGCTGGCACTGAGAGGCGAGCTTTGAGATGGGTTTGTGCTCTGAATGAGAGGCTTTGTTGGCTGTAACATGCATGTCAGCAGGTAAACGATACTCACAGCCAACACAACAGCTTTCTGTGCAATCAGGAGGAGTTTGTGCGAAACCTCCCTGTAGCGCCGCCCATAAATAGCCAGTGTTCATGATCAGATTTCAGTCAGTTTACAGAATTAAACAACAATATCTCAATGAATTAGATGCGTTCTATTCATCTGAATATTGAAGGTGCTGTTAGACTAGCAGCAGTTATTCCCAATCTCTTGTGTTTCAGTGAATCTGTTCAAAACTCAAAACTTTTTTGTATGCATTATCAATCAGAAACGTTCACAGAAATCTCTTCATGTATATTAAGACATAAAATATGCACGTAAATATTACTGTTTATTTCTTCACATAATTAAACATGAATAAATATGATTAATCATCAACAATTAATTTGCGTTGTTATTCAGAAATATTTACAAACGTCTCTTCCAGGGTTATCGTCGTTGACTAAAACAAGCTAAGATTAAAACTGTTTATAAAAAAAAAATTCTTTACTTGAAATAAAACAAGCATTAACTGAACTAAAATACAATATAGAATATAAATATGTTCAGGTAGTTGCCAAGGCAGGTGTTCTCATTTTAATTTAGTGTAACTTGATGTACTAAAATAACTAAAACTGAAATAAACAATAATAAAAACTATATAGACATATCTGAAATGACAAAAGCACACAATAAAATTAGTAAAACTTATGAGAAAAAATGAGAACAGGAAATATTTAAAAAAATCAAATTATTAATAATAATTAAAATAAAAAAATAACACTGATCTCATCGCAATTTTTATTATTTTAAAATGTTTTAGTAAAATATATGTACATGCATATTGCAGTTTATTGGTGCATATAAATAAAAATAAATAGATATGATTCATGATACAGTAAAAAACAGTTTTAAATAAAATGATTGTATTTAATGCATTAAATGTTCATTTATAATAATGCATTATGTTGCTCTCTTTGATTGCTTCCGTTGTCCTCATTTGTAAGTCACTTTGAATAAAAGCGTCTGCTACGTGACTAAATGTAAATGTAATATGTCATATATTTATATATCTCACAGTAATGATGAATTTATTACACTGACTCGTTTAGTTTTAATGCATAAATTGCAATAATAGTAGTTTTAGCGACATGAAGAAGCATTGCATATGCAGGTTTTTCCCAAAAATCAAAAAGTATTATTCATTGCTTAGTGAAAAGCTGGGTTTTTAACTAGATTTTGACTGTATTTTCATGCATTAAATGCCCTTTTAAGATCACATACGTAAATGAAATACATACAGTGAAATCTATTACTGTTTATCGGTGCATATGAATAAAAATGTTTCTGAAAATCTCCCTTAGGGTTATTATTGTAGTTAACTAAAACTAAAATGAAACCATTAAAAAACTATTTCTATGCTTTAAATTAAGATTTAAATTTTTTTCAGCTAGTTGTCAATGCAATATTTCTCATTTTTGTTTAGTTTAACTAATTAATAAACTGTTAAAAATGAACGTTTAGTATTAAAACTATTAAAAAACAACATTAAAATCAAATTTATATAAAAACAGAAAATATAAAAATTATTTTAAATGATTAAAAATATTAATAAAAACAATAATAACACTGATCTCCCTGTAGCAATTTTCATGTTTCGAAATGTGTCAGTAAAATATATGTCGATACATATTGCTGTTTATTAGCGCGTATGAATAAATATGATTCATTTGTTCGTTGAAGTCTTGTAAAAGTCTAGTAAAACATGGGTACATTTTTTTAAATGTATAACATCCCAAAACGAATGTATAAATGAACTCTTTTTAAAGTAGATTTTACTCGTTTCATGCATTAAATACCCTTTTAACTGATTTGAGAGCAAATACGTAAAAAAAATGACATTGTTTCATTTTCTATAAGCCAGCTTTGAAATGATTTATTGTGAAAATCTCTACAAATAAATGTGAAACTGCTGCGGTTATTATTGTTATCAGCTTATACTGATTTATTATACTATTTGCGAAATGATTGCTTCTTGTTCAGCTTTTATAAGCAAACGAACGTTCAGTTTTCGCCTGGTTTATGATAGATACAGTAAGAACACACCGGTGGGTTTGCATTGTCTTCAGTTCAGCTTTTGCATTGTTATGTGTCCCTGCAGCACAAAAGCAGTGTTAAGTTGCTGGGGGATATTTGTAGCAATAGCCAACAATACATTGTATGGGTCACAATTATACATTTCTCTTTTATGCCAAAAATCATTAGGATATTAAGTAAAGATCATGTTCCATGAAGATATTTTGTAAATGTTCTACCGTAAATATATCAAAACTTAATGTTTGATTAGTAATATGCATTGCTAAGAACTTCATCTGAACAACTTTAAAGATGATTTTCTCAATATTTAGATTTTTTATTTGCACCCTCAGATTCCAGATTTTCTAATAGTTGTATCTCGACCAAATATTGTTCTATCCTAATAAACCATACATCAATGGAAAGATTATTTATCCAGCTTTCAGATGATGTATACATCTCAATTTTGAAAAATTGAATCTTAAGACTGGTTTTGTGCTCCAGGGTCACAAACGGAGATTTCTCCTTAAAGCAGCGCTGTTGAGCTGAAATGCATCAGATGCAGTAATTGTAGGACTGCAGATGTGTCGTGGTCTCGTGGATTTCTTCTCTCGGTCGTTCTATATATAGTGTTTTTCTGGAGAGAGAGAGAGCTGCACCCGTCTCTGCTCTCCTTCCTCAGCGTTTCAGTCTTCCTCTCGTTCTGGAGCTGATTTGTAAATCGAGCTGAAGTGATGTTGATACAGTAGCGTGAGAATCACTGTAAAGATGTCATCAGGTTCAGTAGTTCAGTAGGACTACTATTCATTTCGCTTAAAAAAACACTAATGCATTTCATGCACTGAGAAAAGCTGGTGTGGGATTTAGTTCGCTCGGATTGCATCATATGATGAATTGCTTGCTGTACTCTCTTTATATGGATAATGACTAAATGTGACTGGAACAATTTCAGTCAGAAATAACTAAATATCACAAACATTTACAAAGAAATGGTGAGAGCACATTGAATTAAACGTGACATTTTGAGGTTGAAAGACTGAAATAGTATTTTCTTGTAAAATGTTGGCCTGCTTCAACAATCTTTGCAACAATTGCTGAAAAAAAACTATTTTTGCTCAGAAATGCTAGTAAATTTATACATAATTACGCTGATTTAAACATTACATTTTGAAATAGAAGGAATGATAGTATTTTAGATTTGTTTATTCAATAATAGTAATAATAAAGATTGCTTGTGGGTTTTGTTTTGGGGGGTTAGAAGTCTGCTTAATGAATGAATGTACTTCGGAACAATTTTCACTCACAAATTGCTTGTCAATTTTACAGAAAATTGCAAAGAAATGGTAAGTGATTCTGAATTAAACATTGACTGAAATTACTATTTTTCTTGGAAAACATACTTTAATAATCTTTCAAAAAAATTGCATATGACTTATTTTTTTCTCATTTTTACTTTATTTTTTTCCCATTCATTTCCATTCAGTAAATTTCACAAATAATTACAAAGAAACGACAAGTAGCAACATGACATTTTGAATTAAAAAGACATACTCCAGTAATCTTTTGAATTGTTTTGACAGTACCTACAGTGTCTTGAATGCTGTGAATGTTGTTGGGTCCTACGACAAAATTCTTGTTTTCTTTAGTAATGTGGTTCATGGGTGGTTTTTTCTGCTTCCTGCTCCTGTTTATTCCCAAAGCGGACGTCCACTGTTTGTGCTACAGTACGCGTGTGTGTGTGTGTGTGTGTGTGTGTGTGTGTGTGTGTGTGTGTGTGTGAGGTGTCGTTCTGGCTGTCCGTCTTATCACACTCTCTCTCACACACACACACACACACACACACGCAGGTCCTGAGCTGCTCTGATAACACTCATCCCAATCACAG